AAATTTGATCTACAATAAATTTGATTTACAAACAAATTGATTTACAAACTTTTGAAAGATCTGTGTCGTCTCACATATTGAGTCCCGAGTTCCGGGACCCCCAAACCCCCAAACCCGAGACCCGGCAGTCCACAATTTCGGGGTTCGGGGGTTGGTAAAATGTCTATGGATATACAAAAGGTTGATTCAAACATGTTTGAAAGATGTCTTACCCAGAACATGGGACTCGATTTTTGAGATGAAAGACATCTTTCAAACATGTTTGAATCAACCTTTCATATATCCATAAACATTTTACCAACCCCCGAACCCCGAAATTGTGGACTGCCGGGTCTCGGGTTTCGGGGTTTGGGGGTCTCGGGTTTGGGGGTCCCGGAACTCGGGACTCAATATGTGAGACGACACAGATATCTTTCAAAAGTTTGTAAATCAATTTGTTTGTAAATCAAATTTATTGTAGATCAAATTTTATTGATCTCCCCAAATTTCCCAAGTCCCGAGTGCCGACCCCTGACCCCCGAGACCCGGCAGTCCGCAATTTCGGGGTTCGGGAGTTGGTAAAATCTCAGGGTTCGGGGTTCGGCACTGTGAAAATTTGACATTCATATTTTTGCGAGTGTTGTGCTTCTGGTGTCTGTGTGTAGAAATAGGATATATTGCACACCAGGGTTCAGGTGTGGGGTTTTCCCACTTCAGTACTCAATTATTGGTCAATGCCACACATGGTCAATTCATGTTTTCGTGCTTACAGGTTTAGATTTCGGTGGTTGATGGTAGGTATATGCACTCATAGTGTGCATGTATCCTACGTGTTTGATTCGCTGGTGGCTACATCAGCTGTATGTCTTGATGAAATGTATCTAGGCTCACCCATATATGTACCCATCTATGTACAATTCCCCCACGTCAGCCCACCCATCTATGTAATATCCCCCACCTCGGCCCACCCGTCTATGTAATACATCCTATGTTGGCCCACCCGTCTATATAATTATACCCCACCTCGGCCCACCTGTCTATGTAATAAATATTTTATCACACCCTCGGCCCACCCGTCTAATTAATATCCCTTATGTCAGCCCACCCGTATATGTGATATTCCACCACCTCGGCCCACCTGTCTATGTAATAAATATTTTATTGCACCCTCGGCCCACCCGTATATGTAATACTCCCCACGTCAACCCACCCATATATGTAATATGCCCCACGTCAGCCCACCCGTTTATGTAATATTCCCCTACCCCGGCCCACCCGTATATGTAATACACCCCTGTTGGCCCACCCATCTATATAACAATATTTGCCTTACATCTCTCTTCAGCCCAGCTGTCTATAATATCCTACTCTACATATTACCCAGATGGGCCCACCCATCTCCATGAATGATCATATTCCCCGGGCCCATCCGTCAACATCAAGGATATATATATCATTGGCATACATGGGCCCACCCGTCTCCATCGGAAATAATATGTTACCCGGCCCATCCATCGTCATCGAGGATATACACAACATGGGCCCATGGTCCGCTGGCCCGTCTGATATGGGATATTATGTAGGTCGGGTGGCCCGTATAATACGGAATTTGTCACTGAAGGGGCTCGTGTATGCTATGTTGGATTTGTATGCCGGTTATGACCAGCGCGCGCTTCACATTGATTCGCGCAATATGACTACGTTCAGAATGCCCCTAGGGCCGCATCGTTTAATGACGCTTCCGCAAGGACACGCTAATGCTGTACAGGTTTATCAAGGTGACACCGCATTCATATTACAGCACGAAATCCCGGAATTTACGTCGCCGTTTATACATGATGTGCCGATCAAATCGGTAAAAACCTGATACAAGAACGAGGATGGCTCTTATGAGACCATACCCGATAATCCGGGCATACGGCGCTTTATATGGGAACACTGCATCATCGTCAATCACATCTTGCAGCGCTTAGAAAACATAGGCGCAATGGTATCTGCAACCAAGTTTGTGCTAGCTGCACCATCCACGACCATCGTCGGTCACAAGTGTACTTTTGAAGGGCGCGTGCCCGACGAATCTAAGGTACAAAAGATTAGGGATTGGCCTGAGCCAAAGAACCAGTCACATGTGCGCGGATTCCTAGGCACATGCGGTGTTCTATGCATTTTCATTCGTAACTTCTCGCGCATCGCGCGCCCGCTAATCAATTTGACCAAGAAAGATGTTTTGTTCAAGTTTGGCGAAGAGCAGCGTCAAGCAATGCAAACGCTCAAGGACTCAGTACTAGATTCCCCCACGCTTCAGCAGATAGACTATGAAAGCGGACGTGAAGTCATCCTAGTGGTAGACACATCGTGCGTCGCGATCGGATATATCCTGCTGCAAATAGGCAAAGATGGCAAGCGCTACCCAAATCGCTTCGGATCAATCACACTCAATGAAGTGGAGGGCCGCTACTCACAAGCAAAATTTGAACTCTACGGCTTGTATCGCGCGCTACACGCCGTGCGCGTCTACATATTCGGTGTCGTCAATTTGATGGTCGAAGCGGATGCGAAGTATATCAAAGGTATGATCAACAATCCCGATTTGCAACCCAATGCGACCATCAATCAATGGATTGCGGGTATTCTTCTATTTCAATTCAATCTTGTTCACGTACCCGCCACAAAACATGCAGGCATTGATGGTCTCTCAAGGAGACCGCGCGTAGATGAGGACCCAGAGGAAGCCGATGATCACGAGGATTGGATTGACTGCGCATACTCATTTGGAATTGCGATCCTAAACAAAAGGACGCTCCAAGTAGAGGGAGCTGGCGCCAAATACGCTCTTTCCGCGCATTTAGTGCCATTCATGCAGCCGCAGAGGCGCTTACCAGTCTTACGCACTTTCCTTGATGTTACAGAACCGATACCAGATGATCCGCAAGTTCCATGCTCCGAGAAAGCGCAAGCGATAGACGAGCGTATGACCATAATAGAGCAATTCCTTCTAAACCGCAAAAGACCCGCTGACATTACAGATGATACATTTGCCGTGTTCGTCAATCACGCGGCGTGCTTCTTCGTCCTTGAAGGCAATCTTTGGCGCCGCGAAGTGAACGGTAAACACCAGCTCGTGGTAAAACCGCATAAGCGATATCAATTGCTAAAACAAGTGCACGATGACCTAGGTCATAAGGGCGTATATGCCATTCGCTCGCAGCTGCTGTTGCGCTTTTGGTGGCCGCACATCAACGACAATATCAAGTGGTACACACGCACATGCCATGAATGTCAAATCAGGCAGATACTAAAGCTCCAAGTACCACCGATGGTACCGACGCCTGGAGGTTTGTTTCGCAGAGTACACATCGATACAATGAAGATGCCCAAAGCGGGCAGATACGAGTATCTGGTACAGGCGCACTGCGTGCTCACGTCCTATCCCGAATGGCGCATGTTGCGCAAGGAGAATACCAAGTCGCTCATGGCCTTCATATATGAAGAGCTACTATGCAGATGGGGTCCTATCACCGAAATCATTACTGACAATGTGCCCGCTTATAGACTCACCACAGACATGCTTGCGGAAAGATATGATATCCATCCAATCCGCATATCGCCCTATAACTCGCAAGCGAACGGTATAGTAGAGCGCTGGCACCGTGATGTCCGGGAGGCCATCATTAAAACTTGCGATGGAGATGATACTCATTGGTATCAAGTTGTTCATTCCGTATTTTGGGCCGAGCGCATCACCGTGCACAAGTCAACGGGCTTATCACCTTATTTTATGGTGCACGGTGTTGAACCGATCTTCCCCTTTGACCTTGCAGAAGCTACGTTCTTAGCGCCAACGCCAGCACGCGCCATTTACCACTGCAGAACTCATTGCTTGGCGCGCATGGCAGTTACAGAAGCACATAGAGGATCTCAGCACTATCAGGGACAAGGTAATGAAGGTGCGTTACGCATCTATCTGCGATTTTGAGAAGTGCTTTCGTGCGACGATCCACGATTACAACCATGCACCCGGTACCTTAGTACTGGTGTGCAATTCGAAGGTTGAATACGAGTTGAGCAAGAAAACGAAGCCGCAATATTTGGGACCTATGATTATAGTGCGCTGCATGAAAGGAGGCTCATATCTGCTGGCCGAGTTGGACGGCGCTATCTCTAAATTACGCTACGCAGCATTCCACGTCATCCCTTATCATCCGCGCAGTGATGAGCGCATTATGGTGACTAGTGTCACTGGTAAAGACGATGAGACCCTTGATCACTTAGCCGACGAGGATATTGAAGAACCCAATGAAGACAAACCAGAGGGCGCGCGATCACTTCCCGCATATCACCCAACACCCTAACCGCATATCCCCGCTTTCCACATCGCACACAAAAACAAAAACAATATATAACAACAAAACAATCACAAAAACATACCGTCAACTTCCATTATCTCTGTTTTACCCCGGGTTTCGGCCAACGACCTCAGTTTCTTTTATCATGTCTCATAACACGCGCATTGCATTGAACATACATCCAACAGACTCTATTCTATAACCGCCGATCGGGCAATAATAAACCGTCAAAGTACATACTGAAGATAAGTTACCTAGAAGCACGCGCATGACTATCCCATAGACCTTCCATTTCTAACGCGCACAGCCACGCCGCGCCCCTTTTTACTCATAGACTATACATTAACACCATCTAATATCAGCGACACACAGGGACATGCAAAGGAATAGACGCGAAAGGACGCCCGAAGAAGACAAGACAAGCGCGCAGCTTGCGCGACCGCCATATTTTCTCATAACTCTATATTTCTTACATGCACTCACTCGCGTATTCCTCTTACTTAATCAGGCTGGCGAATCGAATCGGACAATGGAATTGGACACAGACATGGACAGGACACAAAGCACTATCGTATTAGGCGCACCAGGCGCCGGAGAAATCAGAGACTCTATAGTACAAAGCGCTCTTTGGTGCTAGCAGGCGATTCCAAATCTAAAGTATTCTAAAGAGACTATCTACTCCTCTAGGACTTTGCAAAGCTCCTTCTCCCAAGTTCCCCAATCGCGCGCCAAAAGATACAGCCGGTTGCTCATGTGGAGCAACTCGGACTCTTGCGTCCGGGAGTGTTGATGCATCTCAGTGAGAGCGACCCGATACTTATTGTTCCGAGTGCGAAGCTCAGCGTTCTCAGCACAGAGTTGAGCGGACTCAGCGCGTGCCTCGTCCAACTCGGTATTGGCATCCAAGCGAGGACATTTTGCCGCAGGTGCAGCAGCAGAGGCAAGCGGTCGCTTCGGCCACTGGACAAAGATGGCCTCCTTCGAGGTACCGGCAACGGGTTCACGGCTGTAGCCTCACCCACAATTTCCACCTCGGACTCACCGGTCTCTGGCGCAGTCGTTTGCGCCGAGGGAGGCGCCTTGCGCTTCGGCACAGCCAGCACGCATCCCTTGTTCTTAGCGGCAACTAAATCAATCAGGCATGAGTAAAGTGAAAAAGAAGTAATAAGTGCCAACTCACCAAACGAACAACCCTTCCGCACTTTAACGCAGCCCTCGCACCTTCCGCTTGGCTGCACAACGATGCACTTAGCGCCGGACGCGGCGCAACACTCGCACCTCTCAGCAGGATGGCTGACAGAGGTGGCGGTCATACGCCCACCCAAACACTAGAAAAGAAAAACATGTCAGCCAAACCGAAAAACCGAAGAAAGAAAGAAAAAACTCACCAGATGTCCCATATCGGTAAGCACAGGTTTGGGCGCCTTCTCACCCGACTTCTCTGTCACCTTCTCCGCCGTCTCCTCGCTGGCGACAACCTCCTTCACCTTCCCCTTCTCAGCGTGCGCTGGGCGCACAGTCACGGCAGACTCTTCCGCCTTCTCCTTCCAAGCCTTCACAGCTCTTGTCAGCATCCTCGTGGCAATTTTGCCCTCGGCCAACGTAACATTCTCCGCATCATTAAGGGACACATGCAGCGAAGCCGCACGCGCCCGCTCGTAGATATCAGCCTAAAAGGGAGCCGTTAGCGATCAAGTAAGCACCAAGTAAAACACGCCACTCACCATTGCGACATTCCAGTCGCGAAGCCAAGACTCCTGTTCCTCCAATAGCTTCGGCTTGGAGGGAGGAGCAGTCTCAATGCACACGTGCATAGTGTTAAGTACGGCGGCCCAAGCACGTTCAATCCAGTCGGACTCAGATTCCTCAGGCTCCTTTGGAGCCGCATCATCAAGAGTGGCGTCGTCAACGGATGCATTGCCACCCTCTAGTGGGTGTTCCTCAGGTTCGGGGGAGGGAGAGGGAGACACTGTCAACATAGCAGGGTTAAAGATGATAGAGGACATGATGAATGATGGAAGCAAAAGATAATCGTGAAGCTGCAATGGAGTATTGAATTGAAGAAGAGAAGCGCGACACGTGGCTGGCTTTTATGTCGGAAATGAACCACATTATGTCAGCACAATTCCGCCCGCTCACCACACTTCACGCAACCACAGTGGATCTGCTCCACATCCGATTTGGCGCGTTTCGCCCACGATCACGTGACTTTCCTTGTCGCAAATTCGCCAAGTCCATCCACCCCTATGTATGCTGACTGGGGACAGTCAGAAGCTAAGTTCCTATGAGATGTAGAGACTGACATCTCTGTGGCCTCGTAGAGAGCTAATTTTACAACGCCCTAAATCACCTTCCAAACACAGCGCGACCTGTATCTCACTTCTGTGCACTTGGCGCTTTGTCGGCCACTCGCGCATACAGGCGCTTAGGTCGCGCATCGGCGCACGCACCTTCGGTTCCATTGCTGGTCCTCCGTCCATCCATTCCATGTCCGTTTGGTTTGTCGGTATGTATTCCTATTTTATTCTCATGTATTCTGACATATCTCTGGCGCTTGCGCACATATTCCATATGTTTCGTCATGGACCCTTATTTACATATCATCACGTACTCACTTCGCTTCCCGGCTCGCTTTAGCACTTGACAGCACTTAAACACTACTTAGAATATATATACCTTGCCTTTTGTATAATGATGATCATCTTCTTCCCGCACAAATGTTGGACTCTAAGTCTAAAATCTCCATCGTATCCGCTGACCGACACTGAGCGCCAGTTCTCATATTCTTATATACAAATGTCGTCTTACTTGTCTCCCGACTCACTTAAGAGTCACTGCACTCCACCCCCCGCACGCGCGCTTCGCTCACACTCAGTGCGTGCCATCGTACTCGTCGCTCAGTAGCACTTTGTAGCGCTTTCGCTCATTGCGGTTCGCCCACCGTCGCACACCTCACCAGGCTTATCCGACAGTCCAGTTCAGTGTTTCCCTCCACTATTGTACATAGAGGAACCTTCTCAGTAGCAATCCCCTTGGGCCGACATTAGATTCGCGCACAGAGGACCATCTGAGTATATCTCATACCACCCACTTTCTATCATTCTACATTCCTCACCTACACCGATGACTCTCAGCACTCGGTACCACTGCCATGGTTGTTGCTGTTAGAACCATCCAAGTCGCATACGACCTTGTGTCATAACAGGAATTCCTCCCTAGGCCTGGGGCGGGTATTAACAAAGACAAAGAAACAAGAACTAGTATGTAGACTTGGTGTGAGATCTAGTGTGAGGACTAATATGATAATCAGACTGAGGAAGTACAGGAGTTTCTATAGGAGTTTCTATACTGGAGACAAGTCTGAGCAGATTAGTAAGCAGAGGGGTAAGGCTATGTACAATGTAGCACTCAGCCTCCAGCTGAGATCATATTGGTTTATTTTGATACACCTTTATTTATAGTCAATTTTCTCAGGTTTGCATTTTTACTGCTGACTTGATCATGTTCTTCTTCACCTAGTACCCTGATACTTGCACTCTGAACCCTCCACAGTTTCTACCAAATACTTTACTGTTTTTCTGGTCCCAGTATGCCTAATGTCTCCATAAGTAGTTACAGGCTGTAGTTTTGTTGAAAGCTCCTAGTATTAGATTTCCCTCTTCCTACCTGCTGTTTAGGAGTTACTATTTGCTGTTTTCTGCATCAATTTCACTTCCTTCTGAGCTCTGGCCTCACCAGAAGCCCTTGGATTGAACATACTGCTCCTCTGTACATGCCCAGTCCACATTATTGTTCTATTATAAGCATGTGGAAATACATTAGTAAGTGAGAAGAATTATAAGTAAATGAACTTAGAGATGAAACTCATACAAGGATCAATAAGTAAGATGAAAACAGAGATAACTGAAAGCTGGAAAAGCAGAGATACCTAAATAGGAAAATAGTACAAATATGGGCAAAGCATGGGAAGAGGTCTAGCAATAGGTACAAATAATTTCTGGAGGTCCAGAGATAGGAGTTCTGAAGATACAATAGGAATAGAGATTGGGATACAGATATGAACAAGGGTTGTAGAGGAGGAAACATTCAGACATTTGACCAGAGGATATACATATTCAAGGTGGTGTGGAAACAACAAGCTTGCTGAGTGGCAAGCAAAATAATATTGGATCATTGCTATACCTAGCTGCTATGTCTTAACAGACATGTTTAACCCTAAAGGGAATTGCTACTAGAACAATGAAGGATATGTGTAACCTGAGGATGTGCTAAGCATGGGAAAATAGCAGACAGGTAATGTGCGAGGTGCAGAGGTGTATGTGAGGCTATCCAAAGTACAGGAAAGTGTGGACAAGAAATAAAGAAGTCAAGAAATGAGGTTTAGATAGAGTGAAGGCAATGGTATATTGTCTTCCTAATGCATTTCTGAGGTATCCAAAGTGCAGGAACATGTGCGCTATGTGGCCAATGCATGGAAAAGTGTAGCCAAGCGGATGCGCAAAGTGCAGGAAAAGCAGGTTCATTGTTGGACAAGATTATTTACTGGACAAAGGATGGATAAGGATAGGAAAACTTATGGTGCTCTATAGATTTTTGATAGGCTCTTTGGCTAACAATAGTACACAGTGACATTTAGTCCAGAATCCTACAGCATATTTACAATCATGCTACTGCTGAGGAACTCATAATGTTTCTCCTCAGCTACATAGATGAATTGAATAAAGATTGCAACAAAAAACTTTCAAACAGCAAGATGAGAGCAGCATAATAATAAAAGATCTTAAATATGATACACTGCAACCATACACATAAGTGAATACTAGTGGCCAGATGGCTCTTTCAAATCTTTGCCTAGAATCTCAGCTTTGATAGATGTGTAAGTCAAGACCTTTGGAAATAATTAAATTTTTCTTGTACTTATCCTTCTAAGTTTGCATCAATACTTTGGTCATATATTAAACTTTGTATCAAGGATACTTGCATTTGCCTCTAGTAAGGTTTTAGCAAAAAAAGTTTCTAATTTATGTATAAAACCTACAGCAATATTAATCAGGCTCAAAATTACCAATAGTAGATAAATATCTTTGAATCAAAATAGTGTTATTAGGTTTTTGTTCAGGTCTAACTTTGCTGTACTGGTGTAGGAAGGCAGGGGTCTGGGTAAGGAACATGAACCATGTAAAGTCCAAAAGAAGCAGCTAATACTTAGAGAGATTTAGGATTGACAAAGATAGACCTTCAGAGTGTGTAGAGTCCAAAAAGCATGTGGACCAGAGGCAAGAGCCTGTCATATCCCGTATTCCGGACCTACATCCAACAATGTTCCCACACCTCATCCGGACCTCTGGACCCCCTGTCCATGTCCTTTATCTGTCAAGATGCCTGTACACCCGGATCCCTGTACCTTTGCATATCCACACATCCAGATCCAAAACCCAGACACTCAATCTGATATCCACTTGCCAGGATCTCCGGATCCGACCTATGCTTCATATCCGAACCCAAACCTTAAATAAGCGCTCATCCCCTTATGGTAATCACCTGTTTCTGGACCCGGTGTAGAGACTCATGCCTCTCCTTGTGCAATATTGCAGTTTTCACCAAGGAGTATACAGCACGAACTTGTAGCATCACTCTGTATGCTTCCTACAGCTATTCCTACATGAGGCGCAGCTTTCCCACGCAACTCGCGCGCGTGCCTTTCCAGCGCTTCACGATGTATATGCGCGCGCACTTTCCCGCGCTTGAGCGCCCTATAGCGCCAGCCATCCAGAAGCATCCATCCACTGTCCACCAAGTTCCCTAGTGCATATATTTCCATTTCTCACATTTGCATATTGTTCCATCTTTATTTTTATCATGGACCCTTACTTACATATACCCTTACATACCTTACTCGGTAGCGCTTCGGCTCCGCATGACAGCGCTTAGGTGCCATACTTAAGCGCCAGCAGTACATACTATTACTCACTTACTCACCCACCAAGAACGACAGAGGACTGAACCAAAACAATACCCATTTACTACCCAGCAGAGCATAGTTGAAATCTATTCCTTGGCACCTCGCATATAACATCTCTCAGCTTGCATCTCTCACCTCTTGTCTAGTGTCTAATCATCACTTAAGCAAACTCACTCTTACTCTCACTTGTTTCTGCATACACGCGTGCGCATTCCCGCGCTTCCCGCGCTTCGCGCACTCTCGCGCCTCGCGCGCACCTTCGCTTTCCTGCGCTTTGCACTCGCCAACCAGTAGCGCCTTCGGCGCCTACTACTAGATCCTTGCTGCACTCGCTTCCCCTTTAGGGTCGAACGCACTTGTCATCTCAAGTATAGCAGACTAGGCAATGCGCGACCTTACAACATTTATAGATACAGTCAGGAGCATTGTTTGTGCCTCGCTGTATCGTTGAACCTTCAATGCGATAGCGAGCGTCAGGAAAGCAAGCGGTCTGTGCAATAATAACGATGACGGGTACAGATGGTGAAGGAACGATGATATTCGCAATGTCAACTAAGAACTATGAAATATCAGGTTTGACCCCTAAGCGTCGGAGATGATTCTCCTCTACTCGGATGATGATGATGCTATGGGGAGTCCAATATTTATGTAGATACATAGAAATCCAGAACCCTATAGGCGAAAGTAGTAGCGCAATATTTTGGGTCCGATGTCCTATGTAATAAGACATGAGGTACTGCAGACTATGGGAATACATGTAATAATGCGGTCGACAATGTTAGGGATGTGAAAACAAGTAACTATGCACCTAGTGGGACTAGCGCGATGAGACTGGACATAGGTAGGATGAGTGCGCACGATATCCGATTGGCTGATGCGAAACCCGATGTCCAATGCCTGATGTCCGATGTTTTCGGGTTTGGTGCGTATTGAGTTGGATATGATAGGGAATGGTTTGGGTAATGATTAGCATTCCACATGCATCGGAAAATAGACCTCTACAAGGCCACAAGGACTCCAAGTCCTACAACGCACTAATCACTTCCCAATGTTACCTGATGCTAACCCACTCAATCTGATGCTTACCTGCTCAACCCAATGCTTAGGCCAACTCAGCCAATGAAATTCCATACACATGTCCTTCCTATGTCATGTCTTGTCATATCTATCCCCACTAGGTGTGCAGTTACCTGTTTTCATATCACTAACATTGTAGACCATTGGCTGAGTCGGCCTAAGCATTGGGTTGAGCAGGTAAGCATCAGATTGAGTGAGGTAACATCAGGTAACATTGGGAAGTGATTAGTGCATGATGGGCATTTTGACATGTATCAGAAAATATCTGAAAATGAGCCCAGTGCAAGACCAAGTGCTACATTGTGATTCATCACATTTCACCATTTTGTGTGGTAGTCTGCCCTCAGCACTTTTTCAGGGCAATTGTTAGATAAACAGATCTTGAAGTCAAGAGCCCCAGCAGAAGTCTGATGTTTTTTAAAATAAGAGCAGAATAAAAGGATCAACCATGATCATGCTATTAAAAGAACTGACAAAATGCAGATAAATGTTTGAAAGTTTTTTGTTGCAATCTTGATTCAATTCATCTATTTAGCTGAGGAGGAACATTATGAGTTCCTCAGCAGTAGCATGATTGTAAATATGCTGTAGGATTCTGGACTGAATGTCACTGTGTACTATTGTTAGCCAAAGAGCCTATCAAAAATCATCATGACTGTCAGGCTTACCTCAATAATGGAGGATCTCTTGCTCACAACCTTGTCCAATACTGTGGGAAGTCACCAAAGCTTTTCTAAGGAAAGCTCAGCAAATATGCTCAACAAACATTATGCAAGATACATTTTTTTGATGGGCTTCTTCCAGTTGAATAAGCAGATCACATCTGGATCTCTAATGCTGTGTGGGATTGGTTTGATGCAGGTCTTCACAAGGTTCTTCTCCTTCAGGCCATACAGTATAGGACTGTGTTAAGAATGTGCTCAAGGGTCAGATCCAAAGGGCTTGGCTTCAGCTCGTGCGCTGCGCCCCTTACCCAAGTACGTGCCCCTAACTTCTGAGGGCTGTTGGACGATGTCCGAAGGTTATCGGACGAGTCCGGATTCCGATGTCCGATGTGCGGGAATTCTGGCGGACGTTCAGGAATGAAGGATAAGACTAATCCGGACAATGTCCGAACTAGAAAGGAAACAGCGGAGGACTACCAGAGGTAGAGGCAGAGGTGAGAAGTCTATAGGAATTGATCCTAAGACTAGCGGAGGACGACGAGAGGAGAAACTCAAGTCGGATGGAGAAGAGAATGAGCAGAGTCTAAGATAATATTCGAACTGAGGAAGTACAAGGATTCTACAGGGTTTATATACTACTGAGGACTTAATGGAGAGTCAGTCTGCGCAGTCCGAAGCTATGCGAGGCTGTGGACGGAACGTATAGAAAAGTCAAACACTAGTCTATCGGAAAATAGTAAATGAAGATGGAGATGAAGACATAGGAAAATAAAGGTGGAAATGAAACGAGGTACGGAAAATGAATATAATCTAACTGGAGAAGGAACGTACAAAGGGATAAGGCACAGAAGATAGACGCAGTTCGGATCCGGACGATAGATAGAAGTCGGCCGGATCCAGAAGTCTGGAAATGATGTGTGTGATTGGTCCGGGTCCAGAACGTGGGATATGACAGACTGGTCCTTTACCCACCACATTTTGAAATGCATCCCACTTCATAATAACTTATTTTTTCAAAAATCGTAGTAGGCAGTAATATTCCAATGTACATGTAAATACTATGATAAAATTTTGAGAGCTATCAACGACGATGTTAGTGTGTTGTAGCAAGATCATCGAAAACAGTGTCTTCTTAGTCCTTTACCCACCTTGATTTAGATGTCACATCATGCAACACCGTAAATTTGTAATCCAAAAGGCAATGATAACATTGATGCAAAATGCTGATGCGATATTACATAAACATGCTTGTTAATCCTCTTCTTCTCCATCGTCTTCTTGCTCACTCTCATAAACTTCAGGCTGAGCTCGTTCTGGCCTTGACACAGGTTTCTCAATTGCCCCCATCTTTGGTTTGTTCCACTGTGGCCTCTGTTTCTCCAACTTTGCCAAATCTTGTTCTGCTTCCCACTCAGCCTTCTGTGCCTCGAAAATGGCTCTTGTTGCTTGATTTCGTTCTTTCTGCTCTATCTCCTCCATTTTCCAATGTGCGAGCTCTTCCGAATGTTCCGCTCTTCTCTTGGCCCTCATCTCTTTTTCTCTAGCTTCCACCTCCATGGCATTCTCATATGTGATAACCTGTGCCACGAAGGCATCACCAGTGAGCATACAAGGTAAGCCATCACCAACAAACCTTGTACCCTTCTTCCTCCCTGCTTTGTCTTCCTGTGCTGCAAGCTGACCACGTACTCGATCACAGTATCTGATCTGTAGGACTGATGCTCTCTGTAAGCCAATCATTTGGTGCTTAGATTCCTCCTCACATCGCTCTGACTCCAGTAAGGCAACTTGGAGTTTGTGCTCTGCCTTGGTCATGGCAGGATGGTGTAGGACTGGAAGTCCTTACAGCCTTGTAGAGGCTAATTTTGCAGTATCCCTCAGCACCCTATTGCTTTCCTATATGAAGCACAGCTTTCCCGTGAGCCACGCATAGTGGCCGCTACTTTCCCGCGACGGCCGCAATGTTCCCGCGCATGCGCACAGCCACGCTTAGCAGCCACTTTTCTCGCACTTCATTGGCCGATGTTCCACATCCATCCATAGTCCAAAACCAACCCAATGGTACATTATTTCATGATTATATTTACATATCAGACCATTTTCGCATCGCACCACCTTTATTTCATCATAGACCCTTATTTACATATAGCTTTACATACCTAACTCGGTAGCGCATCGGCTCGGTTCCGTTTGACAGTGCTTAGCGCTATACTTAAGCACTGTCATATCCCATATTCCGGACCTACATCCAACAATGTTCCCACGCCTCATCCGGACCTCCGGATCCCCTATCCATGTCCTTTATCTGTTCAGATGTCTATACACCTGAAACCCTGTACCTTTGCATATCCACACATCCGGATCTAGGGATCTGCACGGGTATGGGTAACCCGCGCGGGTCACGGGTACGGGTACTACTGGGGTACGGGTACGGGTCGGGATTCTAAGACCCGCGCTCTTACCCATACCCCAGCTATACCCGTGCCTTCCATAAATGGTAATTTTTTTGGCATGAAGAACGTCAACATTCACCAAGTCAGAAGTTCCCATTGACCATTCTTGGGCCATCTCTTAATCAAAAGGTGCGTTTTTACAATTTTCTCTAAGGTGCGTGTATTGTGTATTTTTATAATGCTAACTACCTTGTCCTTTTCTTCGTTCCTACCTCTCGTCCTCGCACACTCCTCAACTGCAACCGTCATCAACGTCTTCGCTCACCACGCCACTATCAACATCTTCCCACCCAGCATTCCCACGTGCACGCTACAACCGGCACCACCACCAACACCAGCACCTAACGCGCCTTCCCAACTCCACCAACTCCACGTTCACAGCGCGCGCGCCCGAAATGCATCAACAAGTGTTGACGCGATGCAAACGCACGCGGTGAAGGTACAACAATTCAGATGGTGAGTCTGAACAATGTTGGGTCTTGCAGAACCTAGCTGCTATTCGACCCTAAAGGGTTTCTGGACCAGGCTCAAGGCTCAGAGAAGAGGAAATATGATAGAAACTTGCTGAATACTCAGACTCATAGTAGAACTGGTGAAAAGGTAACTTGATTATGTAAGCTACAAAAGTGCAAACATAACACTAAGGTAAAAACAGTCTCTGCAAGCCCAGCCAGAAATGAATCCCTACAGCGGACGACACGCGAAGACGAAAGGACAAGAGAATCGAAGAAGGGAGAAGGGATGGTATAGAGATGAAGGAGGAAAGAGGAACTCGAGGAGACAAGACTTTGGGCACGCTGGAAGTGAGTACTTACATTGAAGACTCTACCCCCAGCAACAACAACGATGTCATACGCGTCACGTCGCCGGCGCCTATCTTTGTGCACCCAGCACTTGCACCACCACCAGCATTCACACCACCACCAGCTTTCACGCCAACACCACCATCCACGACGCCAACACCACCATCCGCGTCACCTTCGCCATCATTCACACCACCATCTTTGTCATTCGCGCCGGCACTAGTGCATACCCCAGTGACACCATCACCAACAACCACTATGCCATTCCCAATGCGATGGACGCCATGCGCGAATGCCCAGCGCACGCCCCTCCTCCTTCTTGTGCCATCCACATATGTTCGAGTCACGTCAGCATTCACTGACGTGTGCTGGACATATGTGCTAAGCACTGGCGGACCTATGACCCGCGGGTACACCCTTGATGGGTTGTACCCCGGGTCCTTACTTCGCTACCCACTGTGCAACCCATACCCTTGCTGCGGGTGTGGGTTTACCTCGGGGTGCGGGTGCGGGTTGACCTGCCGACACCCGGGGGTTCACCCGTGCGGATCCCTATCCGGATCCGATATCTGGACACCTGATTTCATATCCACTTCTCAGGATCTCCAGATCCGACCTATGCTTCATATCCGAACCCAAACCTTAAATCAGCGCTCATCCCCTTATGGTAATCACCTGTTTCCGGACCCGGACCAATCACGCCCTCATATCTGAACATCTCCGGACATCCGGATCCGACCCGCATCTATCTTTTGTGCCTCTTCCCTTTGTATGTTCCTTCTCGAGTTAGTCTATACTCATTTTCCGTACCTCATTTCATCTCCGCCTTTATTTTCCTATGTTCTCATTTCCGTCTTCATTTACTATTTTCCGATAGACTAGTGTTTGACTTTTCTACATCCTCCGTCCACAGCCTCGCATAGCTTCAGACTGCGCTGACTGATTCTCCATTATGTCCTCCATAGTATATAAACCCTGTAGAAACTCCTGTATTTCCTTAGTCTGAATATTACACATATTAGTCCTCGCACTAGATCTCACACTAAGTCCTCATACTAGTTCTAGTCCTCCAACTTAGTCAATATCCATCTCAGGCCTAGGGAGGAATTCCCTAGGCCAGAGCTCCGCTCCTCCGCTCCTCCGCTCCTCCGCTCCTCCGCTCCTCCGCTCCTCCGCTCCTCCGCTCCTCCGCTCCTCCTCCGCTCCTCCGCTCCTCCGATCCTCCATTCCTCCATTCCTCCGAGTTTCCGGAAGTTCCTCCGGAACTTTCCCGTGGTCCTCCGGACCTATTCTGCTTCGGACTTTGTCCCTGCAGCCTTTCCTCTGTCTCCATTCTACTCAGGATGAATCCTGAGTAGCCATCACACATATCTGTACCAGGACGAAACCTCATAGTAATTTCCGGAAGTTCCTCTGGAAGTTCCTGCACCCTCCGGAAGTTTCTCGCACTCATCCAGATCCGGACAGTCCTTCCGGACTTTCCTGCGCTCCTTCGGAAGTCCTACGGACTTCCTTGGACTTCCTCCAGATGTCATCTGAATTACGGGCACATACTCGGGTAAGGGGCAGCAGCGCACGAGCTGAAGCCAAGCCCTTCGGAATCAGTCCTACCCTTTGTGCACGGTCTTAACAAGCACTAGCAGTACATACCATTCAGTAGCTTGTTTTCCAGACATTCCAGTAGCAACTCCCATTAGCCTACAGTTGGTAGCTATTGGCAATCAGTATCCATTTACCATTCGCCTTGTATCAGTTATCACCTTGCTCTACATCTATTTCTATTTGTCCTTCATCTCTATTATCATCCGAAACCCTCACACATCGGCCGCTTTGCAGCCACGTCTTTCCCGCACCTTCAGCCGCCGCTACATTCCTGCGCTACACGCATGCACCCAACGCTTTCCCACACTTCACATTGGCTGACAAGCAGCACCTTATGCGTCCATCTCTAGACCTTTGCTGCGCTAGCTTCCCCTTTAGGGTCGAACGCACTTGTCACACAAGTATAGCAGATAGGCAGTGCACGACCTACAACATAAAGATATCAGTTTGGAGCCTATAGTACCACTCTGAGTTGTAAACCTACAACAGTTTAAAAATTCCCTGTACCGTTTGTACTGCAATGGTGACATCGTCTGTGGCATGTACATAGGTATTCGGGACGTCAAGCAGACAGGACTTGAGGTAAGCAGGAATCTGCAGATGTTGTTGCTAAGCTATTGACTGCCATTTGCGCAGATTCATGTGACAGTAACTGTTGTGTATGTGAAGGTGTTGAAGGTAAGGGCTGTGAAATTAATGAATATTGGTTCGAGCCTGACTTGGGTTGTGCTGGACTAGATAGCACTTTGGTTGCCCTCTGAATCAATTGAGACACGATGTGGACTGGTGTTGTCTGAACAAGTGGCAGGTGACCATGACATGATGTCTCTCGACTCGGCACCATGACATCCTCTGTAACAACATATGGATTGAAAGGGTGGACCCCTGTCTTCTCGAATGCGGCTTTGACAAGCTCTGTTGTAAGTGCACATTTGTGAGCATATCCATAGATAGCTAAAAAGTTTTGCTTTGAAAGCTCTTCACCATGTTCCCTTTGCCACCAGGCTTTCTCTTCTGTCCAGCAAGCTTTCAGCCTGCTGAAGATGACAATGTCGAGACCCTGGTAAATATGGGTGCTATGAGACGGGTAACACAAGACATGAATGTTATGTGTGCATGCATGTTCTGAGAAAGCATGTGTGTAGTGAGACGAGTGACCATCAACAAGGAGAAGTCATGCAGAGTCATTGGCTTTGCCTTGTGTATGTTTATCAAAGTGTTGGATCCAAAGTAGTCCGAGCTCACCATCAGTCCATCCTTTTGCAGAATATCCAAGGCTAAAGGACTGCTTTAGTAGAATTACTAGGATCAACAGTTGAGAGTGCTTATGATGTATTAGCAGGGTTTTCTTGACACCAGTTTGTGCGATAACTCTTTCCTTTGAAGATAACATAAGGTGGTGCTGTCTCTCCATCAGCATAGATACTGACAATGACAGTTGTCAGCTCCTTGTTCCCACTTTATTGCTCATACACAGTATGGGCACCACTTGCTCCTATCACTCATTCCTTTCCCTCATCAGCTCCTTGGAACCCAGACTTGTCAAATGCCCAAATGCAATAGGACTTGATTGGTTTGCCATAATTTCCTTTAGACAAAGTATCATGCAGAAGACTAAAATATGCCTCTTTTGTGGCAGGGTTAACAGCACAACCACGGGCACTATCAAGACCTCGAGCATAGTAGGTGCCCAGCCTGTTTGAATGCTTCTCCATGAAACAGTCCATCCAGTTTTTGCCAACACCTGTTTCAGGAAATTTGCCACCAAGTCAAGCATGCAGAATTTCATTAACGTGTTTCTTGAGTTATTTGTGGCTGAGTGGGAATCCTCAATGTGCTGTCTCAATGGAATACTCTATTACTCTCTCTGTCTCCTCTGGGGTGAGCCAACCTTTCTCTGCATTGAAGTCACTGAGCCTCCTACCACCTTTTGCCAAATTTTCGAGTGTCTTATCATTGAGTTTTATGACTCTTCCTGTCTCAGTGAGATACGCCTTCTCAACTTTGCGGCAAACAATTTGTCTTCCTTTTTTCTTCTCTGTAGGTTCCTTTTCAAGCTCAGCCTGGTAAATTGCCACTGCTCGGGCCATGACTATATCATGTTCTTCTCGTAGAATCTGCCTTTTTTTGTATTAGATTTTGCTCGTCCTACCATGGCTTTGCCACTTGTCAGTGATATGCTGTGTGATTAAGTTTCAAGTTTGGAAGTTGAATAGTGTGAGAACTATGTATGACAAGCTTGCCAAGATAAGACCTTAGAAAACTACCATTGTTCAATCTATGTACTCTGTAGAAGGAACAAAGGAGGAATTCACAAATCTGTTGCAGGTGAAAATGATGTTCAAAGTATATACTTTGTATTCTACCAGCCACTTTTTCTCAAAAAAAATCATTGATGTACTTATGGCTCTCAATGAGATTCACTCAGGATGGAAAAATCAACTGATTTGTGTCATGCACAACATCATAGACATTGATTCTTCATTTTATACTATGCAAATGTCCATTGAGGCTTCATCTTTAATATATTCCTATATGTTGATATGAAAAAATGAAGAGATAATGTTTTTTACCTGAGGTGGGTAAAGGACCGGTCCTATACTGTATACAACATGCTTACAATATTTCTGCTCACACATTCAGCTTACCCAAATAATTTTTAAAGTGACCTGTGGAAGGATCAGGCAGAGAACTATAGGATTTTCAGCAAGTCAAATGCACAGTGAATTGGTTGCAATGTGGTTCTTGGTTGCAATAGTACTTTGCAAGTCCTTGTAGTGTCAGGGTATGGTGAAGGTTGGTGGCAAGAAAGTCAAAACAGCGTGTTATTTGTTTCTATTTGGCTACTCTTTGCCCAAAAATCTGTCAGCCCAATTGCAAGCATGCCGAGGCTCAATATTGATGATATAGCAAGACCTCTCTCTGACCTTGAAGACATTGACCAAGATATTCTCGCGAACCTCCGCACGCTTTGGCACGATACATCCGAGGAAGACATCAAAACTAGCCTCGAGAGCTCCGAGCCAAACTGGCAAAAAGGCATTTACCGACTGCTCACCAATTATCAGGACAACACTTGGACGAGGAAGAGGAGATGGTGCAAAGAAAGACACATAGGAAGAAATCCACTGGGAATGACCCTCAGGGCATGACTGGGACCACATCCGAAACACCCCACCTGGCACGTGCGCCTTCATTTCTTCCCCCTCACGCAGCTCCTCTGACCCGGTGTAGGGCAGCTGCCAGCTGGTCGCACGCTTCCCTTGCACAGCGATGATGGTGATAGAGACTGCATACAACTAGGCATTCCTTGTATAACTCTGTGTTCACCGACGCCGCCACATCCAGGGACTGATCTCCGCTCTCCTTTGTCGTCATAAATAGCATCGCCCTTACCACCTATGGCTGGTTCTACAAATTTTCCCGTGATTGAAGTCCCGGAACTCAAGGATGATAAGATGCAGCATTTTTTTCCAGCAAATTGTGGAACATCTTAATGCAATGGAGGTGCGCACTGCAGGCACACCCATCTTGATCTTGGAAACACCTCAGCTCTACCCACACCTGTCAATATCGAATTCAACAAGCATCAGAAAGGCAACATTGTGCAGACCAGAGGCTATTCGTCACCCCAGGAGATTATAGCCGGCGCGGATATAAGGCACGAACGACGAAAAGGGGAATATCTCTCTTAGTGTCAGTGGACCGTCAAGAGGTCATATCTGCGGAGCAACAATGCTGACAGACGGCCTGCGCTCCGTGTGCAAATCATTGAGCCACCGCTCAACAAGCTATGCAAGAACGGCAGCGACGACACCCCGGCCGCCGTCTCACCTGCGTTTTCTGACAGTTCATTCACTCTTCCCGCGACGCCGCGGCGGCGTTGGCTTGATAGTGTTTTCAAGTTCAAGCCAATAACGTACCAGCTTCTGTCCACGCATGACGGGTTCACATCACGCGAGAAGTGCCGTCGAATGCTGGTGAACATGGGCGCCCGCGTAGTCCTCACGCATGCGGAACATTCAGGTGTGCTCAAGTGCAACACAGATGATACGAAGGATCTATCTGTATTTCTGCCGGGGCTGAAGTCGGTTCGGTTCCGCGTGGAGGTGCAGAGGCCGACGCCTGTGCAAATCACTGCTGGATATCAGGTTGTACTACACTTGATACAGGAAAGGGGCGCGTTATCAAGCTTCCAGGTAATTTATCAAAGGCTGAGAAGGAAGTGGGAGTTGGACATTCCACAAATGCTGATGACACCGAATAGTCCACTTTTTGAGCCCTACAGAAACCGAGATGGGAGGGTACGAATTTAGCGAGAGGTTGGTGTACGTTGACTAGCTTGCTGGTACGATCTGTGAGACATGTAAAATTATTTTACAGTAGATACCACCAACATTGGTATTCAAATTTTGTGTCTCAGCTATGAAAGTGGACCATCCATCATCATCATCGTACTTGCGAACCGTGATGGCGGTTCGGTGAGGAGCGTGTCATCACGATCAGTGACCATGGCTTCATCGATGGCTTGCGGAGGAACTGATTCTTTGAGGGAATGGTGTTCCCCTTGTTTTGATATGACTGCAGACGTGGGATCTACACTGCTGATTCGGATGAAACGTAGGAGCTGGATGTAAGCAACTTCCGTCTGATCCCATTTGCGGAATAGCTTAACGGTAGCTTCATGTGTAAGATCAGGCACATCTGCGCAATATGATCAACAAAGGCAAGGCAGTATGAACAAATCAATCTTACCCATTCCTGTGCGGTATTGTTCTGATTCACGGAGCTTGATCTCTTCCAGCTTCAACTCCTTGGTACTTTTTGGTCGGCCCTTGCGGCGAGCAGCTCTCTCCTGCTCGAGCTCATCGTCATGGCGTGTTAACCACACATTACTAATGATGGAATGTAGCTCTTCGAGGGAGAGCGTGCC